CCTACACCACCACCTCCCCCCTCCGCCCCGTGTCGCCGTCAGGGAACCCAGCGCCGCACCGGAGCCAGAAGAGCGGGAGCAAAACCCACCCCAGGCCGAAAGCTGCGTCCAAAACCAAACCCACCCTTTTTATTGCAAAGGAGAGATTTTTTTTGTTCTTTTTTCTTAATTTTTATTATCATAATTTTTTTAAATCCTGACCCCAGACACAGGGGAGGCAGCGGAGTCGGGGCAGGGAGGTTTTCCCAGTTATTTATTCTCTCCTCCCGCAGAGGTGTCGTCCCCGGCCTTGGGCTCACCATGATGTTTCGAGACCAGGTTGGCGTGTTGGCCGGCTGGTTCAAGGGCTGGAACGAGTGCGAGCAGACTGTTGCGCTGCTCTCGCTGCTGAAACGCGTCAGCCGGACCCAGGCTCGCTTCCTCCAGCTCTGCTTGGAGCACTCCCTGGCAGACTGCACCGAGCTCCACATCCTCGAAGGGGAGGCCAACAACCCCGGTGAGTGGGTTTTGTTGTTTTGGTGGTTTTTTGGGGTTTTGGTTTTTTTTTTTTCTTTGGGGTTTTTTTTTGTTTGTTTTTTGGTTTTTTTTCCCGCAAACCTGCGTGAACGATGCTCTAATGCAGGCAAAATTAAAAAAAAAAAACAAAAAAACCCAAAAAAACCCCGAAAACCCACCCAAGAGAAGAGGGAGGTGGGGGAGCCAGGGCTCCCCAGCTTGATTGCATTAACAGCTTCTCTTCTTACGTTCTGCTTTTTCAAACGGGTGATGGTTTATTTCAGTTTGATTTTTCACAGCAAACTACTCCACTCTATGGCGTGGTGTAACTACGGTAGCATGAATGATTGGTGGTTTTTTTTCCACTCTACTCCCCCCCCCCTTCCTCCTTCCATGCAGTTTCCTGTGAAATAAGTAAGTCAGATCACGTAGAGTCTGGATTTTCTAGGCTTCTTTTGGACAACGTGGCTTGCTTTGCTTTCTGCAACATGCAGAAGCAGCTCATCGCTACCTTAGACGAACTGTTATTTTCTAAAGGTCTGGGCAGCTGGGTTATCCTATTTTTTTTTTTTAATGTGGCAATTCCTATTTCATCATTCAGATCCTGTTTGGACGCATTTTTTCCTGCAGCTCTGAATACCCCCTTGTGTTTTAGTGGAGCTCTAAGAAAATATGAGTAGACTGTTTTATGCTACTGAATGTACAGGATGCATTACAGAAAATGTGCATGGCTGCAAAAGTATATTTTGGTTTTGTTTATACACCATTAGAAGTTACTCAACTCTGCAAAAGTAAATGGAGCTAGAGCAGGATGAAAATGGCATAAGCGATGTGTAAATCACGCCGTGTGTTCACGTGTGTGTTAATTCATGGGTGTGTATGTTACAAACACATATGTTCCTAAGTGTGCATGTGCAGATATACGCAGGGATGCGAGTCACTTTAAGCAGAGTTTCTGAAATACAGAGTATGAGCAGGGAGGACAAAATCTGTATTTAAGTTGCATAGTTCCATTTCCCCAATGCCTCCAAAAAAGCCCAACAACAAAAAAAAAAAAAGCAAAGCCCTCCCCCCTGGCCCCGGTCCTGTTGCAAAGCATCCTTTTTGCTTAAAATCCTGGGGGGGGCCCAGGAGCTCTTGCTTTTCAGGCTGTGCGTGTCAAAGCGGTGCCGGGGAGCAGCCGGCTGCGTTTCATGATGGGTGGAAATCTTGCGGGTTGGCGGTGGCCGGATCCCGAACAGAGCCCCCAGTGTTGATGGGGCGGGAGGAATGCAGGGTCCTTCTCCAGCTGTTCCCCATGTGAGGGCGGCGAGCCGGCAGGATTGGGCGGCTGCCTGTGCTGCCATTTGATGACAAGGTCCAGCGCAACGCCGTGTTCCACTGAGGATGGATTTAAGTCCTTCTGCAGGAAACCAAGCCCAGGGGCTGCTCCGGCGTGAGGGGGTCGGGGCTGGCTATGGGGGAGCGAGGCTGGAATTGGCTGTTCCCTTATATAGCTCATAGGAATGAGCGAGGGAGGAATGCTGCCGAGTGCGTCTGGGCGCAATACTGCTGGTTTTATAAACAGCTGAAGGGCCGAACCTCATCCCTTTGGGTGGGGAGGCCCTGGGGGGGACAGGGAGGGAGCATGCTCTCTAAACTCAGCTGCTCCAGGGTAAATGTGC